CCCCAAAACCCCAAAACCCCAAAACCCCAAAACCCCAACACTATATTCTTCGATAGAAAAATTAAAATACTTTAATTATATTTTTAAAAATGTCAGATTCTTGATACCCCTCTGATGACTTGGAAACCTCTTGTTTTAGTGACATTTATCAGACTTACAAGCACTTACCAGAGCCATTTAAGTCCTTCAACGAAGAAGAGGGTAAATTCATATATGATGAAATTATGAAAGCTCCTCATCTGCCCTCTGGAGTCTCTAAGAAAGATAAAGATCCTAAATTTTTCAGAAGTATTCTGATATATCATCTCTCTGAGAACACCAAGGAGCTAGTAGCATGGATAGAAGACCATAAATCTTTCCTCTTTCGGAGTGGGCATATGACCACCAAGGACCAGATCCTGATTCTGGAGATATTGTTCTATCATGGATTTTGCAAAAATACAATTCATTATTCCTCCCTTTTCCAGTTGTATTCATTAATGGGAATATTTCTTAAATTTAATGAGAAGCAGATCCAGCTCAAACTCGATTGGAAGCCTGTGTATAATATGCTTTATGCCATCACATTGAACAAGAAAATCAACAGGAACATGATGACTTATCAAGAAGATTCAGGCAATATTTACAACAGACTCGAGATCTTATGCTTTAAACTTAAGAAATACTTCTCAAAGGATGCTTCTAAACAAATCTGTGATCTTTTGCTAGATGTTTTTAACCCTGATCTATATGAAGAGGACAATGACCACGGACCGAAAGAATTGGGTGGGTACTCAGTAAGACTCACAAAAATGATAGCCTTTGTATTTTTGATCCCAATACATCCAGAGAATACATCAGAAGAAGAGATAAAAACATGGCTTCCAAAAGTGATGGAATTTTGGAAGGATAGCCCTTTTTCTAACTATTTAAGACACATGTTGATCAATCTCCTGGCACAGATATATATCCACTTCAAAGGTATTGACCTTTCAGAGTATTATGACATGATATCATTCCATTTCTACAATACTTTTTGTGGTTGATTCACCATAAATAATAAGAAGCCTTTTGAAAAGATCCTGCTGCCTATTTCTCTTGGAAGAGTGATCATTTGGGGCTACAAGCCAATCAAATATCTTCAGAAAAACCCAAGTTTGACTAATTTTAATTTTGAGATCCTCTTTGAAAGATTCCTGGATGATCTGCACCCTGAATCTGGTGTAGAAAACGAGAACTTCATGAGACTCATTAAGTTTGTATCTAGTACTCTTTGCGATAGAGTCAAGTGAGAGAAGCAGCAGAAGGCCGAGGAGAAGGAAGTTGATGCATCCCTGTTCTTAGAGAAGGAGGATATTCTATACTTCATTAATGTTTTGAAGCCATACCTTGATCTCGCAACTCAAGGACATACAAGCCTCAGTTTTCTAGCTAGGACTATCAAAAATCTAGTCTTGCTCGACTGTGATTCTATTCTCTCTATGTATATCTTTCAGAATTTCTGTGAGCTGAGCGACCTTGTGAATATTAAGTTTCTCAGCTTATTAGGGGACGTCGTTGTAGGTGCAATTTTAAATCCTGAAACGAACAGTAAATATAAATACAAATTTATCCAAAATTCTATCGAATATCTTCTTGAACAGATAAAGCTGAACGATTCGAACATTTTGAGATTTGTTATTTTTATTTTTAACATAATTTGGGCTGCTTTCCCAGTGCTACCAAAGGAATGGGGCAAAGATCTTATTGAGAGCTCTCACAAAGGAGTTACTTATTCCAAGTATATGAAGAGTATAAAGAGCAAGAATCCTCAAGAATATCAGTTTTACAGACTTTATGAGAAAATTCATGAATACGCAGTAGAATATTTCCATATGCTCACAAAAGCAATGAACGCAGATTTATCCATTTCAAATGAGATCATTAAGGGGTTTAAGTACTTACTTAACGCGATGCCTCCAGAAATCTTCCAGCCTCTTGGAATTGGGTTGGTAGAGAACAGTGACATTTGCAACTCCAAATCAATCCTAGGGAGGGTGGTAAACAACATTGCTTGTAGAAACTCTGATACAGCGAATGAGATGCTAAATTTATGAATTGATCACCACATGTTAGAAAAAGATGAAGAAACAGGCGAAGATACTTTGGTATCTTATAAATTTGACACCAATGATTACTACATTCACATCATTAGTAGTGCTGCATACAGGTATAAAGAAGGAGCAAAGGCTTATATTAAGAAGCTGACTACTCTATTTAAGCTGATAACCGAGCATTTTGAGGAGGATAAACATAAAAATGACTTTGAAAATCTTCTTCGGGCTCTAATCTCTCCCTTTACAAGACTCAATGTAAAGTTCCCTTGGATCGTCGCAGCAGACTTGTGGGAGGAAAAAGAGTTCCAATTGAACCTTTGGAATAAGATAGGAGATCTGTATTGCAAGAAGATTCCAATAAATCTTGAGTACATTACTGAGGAAGATATCCAAATTGCCATAAATGTTATTAAGGACTATATTTTCCCATGGGTTAAGGGTCTTGCTGAGAAATGAAAGGATAAAAACCAGATCAAGACTGTTTCCATCATTTTATGTGATTTATACAGTCATATTTGTACTCTCTTTCCTCTGAAGAGACCGAATAGTAAAGAAGATTTGAAAAATGATACTGATATGGAATGAGATCCTACCCCAGATGGCTCAGATTTTGATCCGGTAAATTTGACAATTAATCATAGGGCTCTAAGAAAGACTTTACTAGTTATTACTACAGAAAGATGGGGATCAGTGAGTCTACTGTTGACCAGTTAAGAGAGATAGAGAGAGAAATTTTCAATATCAACGAGATTCTTCACTCCAAGGTAATCATTGACGATGTAAAGAAGCGTAATGAGGAAATCATCTGCAACATTGGAAGTGTCTACAAGCAGATCATCCAGTGCAACGTGCTTAGCGTAAAGAGCTTTACTTTCAACGAGAACAGCACCTTATACTCTTCATTGGATAATAAGAAGTTCAAAAGACAGCCAACTAGTTATTTCGAAGCGATGAGTACCATTACTTCTAAGCTGATATCTTCTGTTCGCGGAGAATTCTTACCTGAAAATGACCTCTTCATGAAGAGTTTAAACAGGTGTTATGAGTATGAACATTACTTGTGTCAGATTCCTTCCTTTCAAATGCAAGGCAAGCTTGGATATACTCCCAAATTAGTCAGATTCTTTCCTGAGAATAGTAAATTTCACTTTGAGAAAATGGATGAAATCTTGGAAGACATCATCAAATGTGTAAAATCTCTTCTTGGCCAAGACGAAATTGAGAAGAAAGATCAGGATCATCTCTGTGGATTAATGATGCTTTATGACTCATACTTAAACATTAAATTTGAGTTTAACTCCGAGAGAACCAAGATCATGATTGATCTCTTTTTCTTGAGCAAAGGAATCAAAATGCAAACTTTGAGAGCTCTTCTGTGGAGCTTCTGATACCGAGGAATCTCAACTCCTATCAAAAATGAAGAGTTTGAACATGAATTGGAGATAGAAAATCCTCTAGCATGCTTCTCTCAAAGCTCTTTGGAATTATTAGAGCAAGCCAAGATAGATGTGGGTGAAGAAGTTGAAATCAGAAATCTCTGTGTACAACAAAGAGAGAAAGCTAAGGAAGAAATAGTTCAGTCCTTAGTTAGCCTCATTCAAAAACATCACGTAGATCAGCACCAAGATGATGCAATTTTCGATTTATTCGAACGTTGGAGTAAGTTCTTCAAAAACTCTTTGCATGAGTTAATCGAATTGAACAACTACATATTCTTCAGGGTATCCTCTGTTCTGCCTTCAGTCAGGCTGAAAGCATTCAACCTGATATACAAAAGCTACCAGATGAAAATTGAATATGTTGAGAAGAAGAATAGCACCAACGAGGAGGAAGGACCAGAAGAATTTAACCACAAAGCTCCATTCTCGCTGCTTGATTTTGAGGTTCAAAAGACTGATAAAGTGCATGCCTTTATCATGGATCAAAAAGAAATTTTTGCCAGGAATATCATCGAAATGATCATGACAGACTGAGGTGTCAAGCAGGACAGGAAACTTATCTCTGAAGAGGAGGGCAGGAAAGCTGTGAAGACTACTATCCGTAAAGGCAAGAAGAAGCGTACTATTATTAAGCTCCCTTCTGACAAAATCTCAAGGCTTTTTAAGGTGTTTTACAATATCTTCAATTATTATGGAGTCGAGCTGTTTAAAGACTCTTTCTATCCCATTATTCAGGAGTATATCGAAAAAGGGTTTGAAGATAAAGAGCACCAGAGTGTATGGAAGGTCATCATTTTTGATATCTTGGGTGCATTCATGAAAACATTTGAGAAATATTATAACCAAGATCCTGAACTCTACAACCAAATTCCCTTCATGATGTATGAACTTTATGATCCGAAGATGAGCAAGGAACTCAAAAATTTGTACCCCAGTACATTACAGGAGTGTTATTTTCTGGCTAAGATTGAGAAGCTGGACTCTTTCCTTAAGATGCTTATTGAAGATATTCCTCACGATTCTTCTCTGAAGACTGACAAAAGCATTCAGATGTTTAACACAATTTCTGTGATATTCTCATGGCGATCAGTTCCATACATGAGATTATTGCTAGAAAGAATTTTGAGCTATGACCAGTCAAAGCTAAAAGTGCCAGCAAACTTTCAAGAAGAGATTCCAGATAGGTTGAGACTCATAATGCATAAGAACTTTGATGAGATATGCTTGCTAATGAGCAGGTACATTTACCTCTGCTATAAAAGCACTGATGGTATGTTTGCCTTCATAATCTTCATCTAGGCCAATCTGAGGAGAACCAGCAGACTATTGGCAAGATCCTTGAGTTCCTCAAGGACGCTAATATCGAGATGGGCCAGTGATCTCAGCAGGTTTTGGAGAACACTAGCTCAAACATCGCTTTATTTTATGCAAATTACTTTAAATCTAGGATAAATAATGACAAATTGATCGATTTCTGAAGAGCATTCCAAGGTAAATTCTGCTGATTAGATTTAGATTTATTGATTATTTGTGAAGAAAGAGCAGTAAAGGAAGAAATTAGCGATAAGTACTCTAACGTACTTGGTATCCTGCTGAAATCTAATGAAAATATTGAGATGAGGAGACAAATGCAACAAGACATGATCAAGTATTTTAAACATGAAGCGTGGAGAGTCAGGCTCAGATGCACATTGGTTTATCATATCTGAAACCAACACATTATTGAGGATATCAATATCACACAATCAACTATTGGTCTGGCTATTGAAATGTTAGAAGATGAAAACTTGAAGGTCTGAATTGTAGCATTAGGGATTTTGGTATCTAGCTTTAAAAGAAACACTGATAAAATTCCAAGCCTTACTGAGGAGCACAAATCAAAAGCAATGACTATTTTGAGCCAACTGAAGAGTATTAAAGGGAAAACTGAAGAGTCTAAGAAATTATCTCGAAAGCTCAAAGTGCATGCGTTAATTATTCTTGGTATTTCTCTTGTTTGACCTTTAGGAATTCTCGAGTACCATGAATTCACTCTTGAATTGTGGGTGACCGAGCTAGCTTTGTTATTACACAAATTAATCCCATTCGTTCCACAAATTAAATACGACATCTTGAACTACTTCACAAATTTCAAGAAGACCCATCAGCAATTGGTAGTGTTCCAGGAATCAAAATACACAAACTGAAGCTCTGAGACATCATCCGATTCGTGTGGTGGTAAATTTCTTATTCTTACTCACTCTAGAATCTCCGAACGAATTGTTAGAAAATCTGAAGGAAATATTTAGCATAAATTCGAACCACTTCATTGCATATTAACAAAGCTCAAGGCAAGAATGCACACTTGGGGTTTTGGGGTTTTGGGGTTTTGGGGTTTTGGGGTTTTGGGGTTTTGGGG